AAACTACTGGTCATTAGTTTGATGTGGTGTGTAAATGAACATGAATGACAGTTTGCATAGCTGAAAATTTTGAATAAAACTCTAAATTGGTATTCAATGTAATTCTCAACGCCCTGTGTTAGACTTAAGCGTGTCAAATGAAGTGAGGGAGCTGTTGGCTTTATTTTGAGGAATTTGTACAATCTTATGTAAATCTAAGCATAAACCATTTCGAATTTGGGAATATAGCTGATGTATTATTGCTTTAACAACATTACGTACAATTTATGTCTCTCCTCAGGCGATGAGATGTTCCATTCTGCAGTATTGCCAACGCCAATGACGCCTTCTTATTTATCTTTCCGGGATTTCCTACTGAGGTTCGCCTAACGCGTTTGCCAATTTTAAATTTTTCGCGAGCTCTCGCAGACTGTCGCCTTCGCTATTCAAACCAGATCTAAGTAGACTTTGCAGTTAGTTTTCGTAATTACACCGAATATCCTTAAAATAACGAATATAAATCAAAAGACTTTGTAATCAGAAACATTAACTTGAGTTGTTACAAAATAATTAGTAAGTTGGGAATGGTACCTACAAATTAATTTTGTCTGAGAGGTTTTCGCTAGCTTTTAAGAAGTTTTTGCCTATTCAGACATCTCTGGGAGAAATATTTCGTGGTTAATCAGTAATACGGCTTATAACCGTGGTCGTAATTATTCTACATTAAATTATTTAAAATCTGGAGAACTTTCGTCATGGAAATATATATTGCTGTCTTCATTAAAACTTCCCTCGGGTTCGCAACATTGCGAACTCTTTCTTTTTCGTTTGCCCAAGTTTTCTCTGCCGAGATTATTGTCAGCTGTGACGCATAAGGTGTCGTCGACACTAAGGTTTCAAGTCACTGATATTTTAAATCTGTATTTTCTCAAAATATAAACCTTTAGCATGTGTTTGAACACTCTGTATTGGTGAGAAATCTTGGAGTTTGACATTCAGAATGATCTCCCGCTTTTAATATGGGGAACAATGTACTGTCATTTGTAGCTATGAAGTACTGCACATTGGAAACTGCAGTAATATCTGTAATCAAGCACCATTAACGGTCCCATGTGGTAGAAAGCAGGCTCCTAAACGCGATAAATTATTTGGGACGTTATTGGTTTCGTTACTTGTGGAATGCGCCACTACTTATGTTGAGGATTTATTGGATCATTAACATCAGGGCATATCATTGTAGTTGGAGACTTATGGGTTAGTTCAACGGTTTCCATCATACAAGCAAACGCGAAAATTTCCATTTCTATTTTAATGTAATGCTGACTCAACCCGTATAAATATAAAAATAACTGAGAACTGGGACTTCCGATTAGAAACAAGAATCTCACACAGATATACCTTTTCGTAATAATCACAGACTAGGGGAAGTTTGAACGCATTTGCGGAAAGGGTATCATAACTTCCACGATAAAGTATTGAGTTCGATTCCCACGGGTGCCGTTTTCTTAAAATATTAAGCCTGTTTTAGGATCATTTACGTATTATGTTCTACCATGAAATAAACCCGCTTTTTGTTTATCACCCGCCGTGTTCAAAGTTGTTTAATAAATCATCTTTCACACATCGCACTGTAATGACACTATTTTTGTCGTTTGCCCTGTCAAAAGTTGGGTTCTCTCGGCTCCAAATATGATAATTTTATTGTGATAAAAAATATATATATATATTTATTAGATATTTATTTTTTTGAACGCTTTCCTTCACTTGAAAGGTATTTTTTATACTAAAATTACGGATGGTTTGGCACAAAATCGTGTGTAAAATATAATTCAGGGAATTTGCCAAGTATAAAAAATGAAATATTACCCTTTCTCTGTCATATTCGCTCTCTTTGTGTTTTAGGTAGAAAATTTCTGAAATATACTAGATTTTAAGCATAGACTACGCGCTTTAACAACTTCAGTATCTAACAACGCTTAATATGCGAAGAAATAAATGTCTTTAAGGCCTTTAAATAACTGATATTCATATCCGTGTACTTATTATAAGGTGGCACAAAGTGCAACGAAATTTGATTTTGTTTACGTTTTTTTTAAACACTAAATTTGTTTGGAAAAAACATGAAATAAAACACTTTTACCGGCAAAAATCACAAAATACGGGTGCCTATACCCGATAATTTAAACGAAGTGTATTAATATTTAATGATGTAAACTTGGCTGAATCAAAACAGCTACGACAAAATAAATGATGATTTAAAATTTAATATGCCCCCAATTTCCTGTATATTCCGAGAGATAACTGAGATAAGCCACTTAGGGCTCCTTAGAGGTGAGCCCTCGGAAGTAAAGTAAACCGCGACTTCCACTGCTCTGTCATTCAAAATCCTACGAGATTTGCTTGAAATATTTTTGTCGAGTTATTCAGATAAAAAATATTTTGACCTCCAAGGACATACAGGAAATATTATCCGTTTGGTTTTTATCGATTTCTACCAAAAAAATTAGGTGTTCCATTTAATATTTTCAATTTCACCTTGATTTAACCTTGAAATTTGTCTGAATATTTACTGAAACTTTTCTGAGACACCTTGTGTCTTATTTTCTATAATTAACCACATAACTAACCTTAAGCATTGTCAGTAATGATTTTTGAAACATAAAAATTAACTCGGCCAACTCAAAATTTCTTTGCAAAAAGTTTAAGGGATACTGTCCAGTTTCATTGTTTTATAGGGTTACTATTCTGGTAATAGATAACGTTGGATGTCAATTAAAGTACCACTTTATGCGTCATTCCCATTTACAGAGGGATGAACCTACTATTAGACAATAAAAAAATCTGGTTTGACTAAAACCAACGGTTATTAAGGGAAATATGATTTAGTAGTTATTAGCATACATAATTTTGAAATATTGAATGTCACAACGTTTGTGCGCAGTTACTTATCAGTTGAAACGCAATTATCTATGAAATTTAATGGGAACGTCGACTATTTGCCGCAATGAATTATGGCGACAGTGAGGAATATATATTCCGGGCTGACTGAATATTGTAGCTACACAACGCAGCATGTATATCATTTTAAAAACCAGCATATTTTGCATACCAAACTTTAACTCACTGTGCTGCAGCTTGGAATGCAAAGGACAGAGGGAAGCATAAATCTCCCGGAAAGTACGCCACATTAAAACGAGAGTTCGGATTTAGTTTGCGGAGGGATGACAAACGTATATGTTAAAAATTATTTACCAAGAAGTCTAGCGTCTTCGCAGCCTTGGAAAGTTAGACAAAAGGGATCGACGGGTATGACGCAGGACAAAATATTGATATTCAAAGCTGAAGCAGATGTTCCAAGGTGTACCTCTATTCCTGCAAATTTTAACAAGCTTCTTATACGGAATGGCTAGAAGTTTATGTTTACTTTTGAAGCCGATGGATTAGTTTTATCTCGCGCCGTGGGTGGCGCAGAATTTAAATCTTGTGTGACAACAGAGCCTGGCAGAAGTCATATTTTTCATCCGAGGTCTGATGGATACCAGAAAAAAATGAGTTTTGTGAAACTGACGCGACACAATTACACAGTCTCACAAAAAAAAAAGTTGTCTGTACTTTTTATGCGACATATGTTATCCGTAGTATTTTTACCTCCTGATCACGAATCCGGCGTCAGAATTGAGCTATCACATCACAGGAATTTCCTAACCTCAAAAAACAGGTCAAAAATACCAAAAATTCACGAGTGCTAGGAAAAATACAAAAAAAAATTTTTTTCTATATCCAAATGTTCATTTATATGGTGAACGTGAATCCGCGGTCAGAATTGATGGTTCTTTTTCTAACCTAAAAAAAACAAGTCAATTAAGGTCAGATATCACGAATTTTCAAAAAGTAACAGATTCGCGTCAAATTTGGTATTCGGGGCTTTTCGGGGTCGCTGATCACGGATCCGAGGTCAATTTTGCAAAATTCGAGAAGGCGGATCCAAGATGTCCGAACAAATTTTTAAATTTTTGTAATACTTTTGTTTACTTTATAACCTGAGTACCCAATCATGTTTTAACCTTCTTAAAGTACATAGGTAATTGATTAAATTTTTAGAATTTTGTAAATCTGATCTCAGAATCGTAATCAGCGACCCAGAAAATCCCCGTATACCAAATTTGACGCGTATGTGTTATTTTTAGAAAATTTGGTCGGCCATCTTGGATCCGTCATCTTGAATTTTGCAAAATTGACCTCGGATCCGTGATCAGCGACCCCGAAAACCCCCGGACACCAAATTTGGCGCGAATCTGTAATTTTTTAAAAATTCGTGATATCTGACCTTAATTGACTCGTTTTTTAGGCTAGAAAAAGAACCATCAATTCTGACCACGGATTCACGTTCAGCGGGGTCTTAACCATATAAATGAACATTTGAATACAGAAAAAAAAATGTTGTGTTTTTCCTAGCACTTTTTCGGGAATTATTGCTATTTTTGACCTGTTTTTTGAGGTTAGGAAATTCCTGTGATGTGATAGCTCAATTCTGACGCCGGATTCGTGATCAGGAGGCAAAAATACGACGGATAACATATGTCGCATGAAAAGTACAGACAACTATTTTTAACGTCAATTTGTATTAACCAAACGAAAATATTTTGTGTCTCGTTTTTATGAAATACGGCAAGCAGTGGTAGGTCTGTATTTCTTTTAATTATGAGGAATTAAGGTATTGCTTTCAACGCAAATTTGCTGAAACGAACAAGTCAGACGCAGTAATTGCTACATCTTGTTCGAATAAATATATTTAATTAGACAAAGGAACCATATTGCTCCGTACAATTCATGCTTATTAAGTATAATGTGGATTTCGTTCTACCGCCTTAATAGTGGGTGTAAGAGATAATTGCCAGACGTCTTTTAAATAAAGCTAATCAACTAATTTTGGAGTTTAATTAAGGCCAGATTAGAGATAAACCCGAAAAGAAAAAAGCTCACTTTTAACTTCTAATTAATAATTCATGTTTTTTTTACAGGCTGTTCCTGCAGAAACCAGCGAATCCCGACTTGATGTACATCATATTTTTCTGTCACACCCAGCTCACCGTCACCCTGCTCCTCTGCTTAATATTTGGAAGTAAGGTAAGTCACACCTCATACTGTCTTTCGTATACTTTTAAACGTAATAGTCTTCATTTCGTTCAAGAAACATGTTTGTGCCCCACGTAGAGCGCCAAAAAAACTTTTTGGACATTTAAGAAGATACACGTCACATTGTTTTAATATAATTTAATCAGTAATTTTACGTCATGCAAAAGCAATCTATTTTTACTAAATTATTTTCCATGACAGATTAAAAATCAACTATTTATTTAAAATAAATTACCCCCGCCTAAAATTACGCCACGTGCATTTATTTTAACGCACTTTCGAGGCATATAACTGTACCAGCTCTTTCTGTTCAGGTGTTCATGGTTTTCAAGAATAAGGGTCGCAGCGACGAGGGCTCCGGCATGGTGTCCAAGACCCCCTCGTCCAAATTCATGAGCAAAACGCGTACAGAGAACATCCACTACAGCGTCAACTCGGCTATAGGAGGCCAGGACTTCCTCTACTCGAAGTACAACGAGCAAGACGTCCAGGAGGAATTCCTGAGGGTCTACACTCAACTGGAGGTCCTCAGGGAGAGGAACATGAGAATGGGGAACCGCCACTTGGCGTCCAAAATAATTGCCATGCAAGACGCGGCGAGGACACACGACAACGTGCAGGCAGAGAATTCACAGAACCCGATCAAGTCCAGCAGCAGTCTCGGGGTGATGGCGGATCCGAGCACCGACGATGTCTCACCGGTGAAAATCAAAAGACAGAGTGTCTCATTCGCCGCCGAGCCAAAGGCCAACGGCGAGACGGCCGGCGGTGCTAAGGAAACCAAAGAAACCAACATTCCGGAGGAGTGTGCTTCGGGCTCGACATATCCCTCCACAGAGGTAAAGAATAAGGACGGGAAGAACGCTGGGGACAGCAACGGAAGGTACCTCATGTCCGGACATGCCAGAACTCATTCTATTGTTATTAATCTAGATGATAAGAGTCGATTTACAGATGAAATAACTGTTTAATAGTTTTTTTTATTTACCGTGTACCTGATAACAAATAAAGGTTGTATTAGAAAAGTCTGCGTGTTTAATTATTTTTTTAATAAAAAATTTAACCCTTCAAAGGTTTTTTAGTAGGCGTACCTTTCATTAGTTCAAACTACTTTGTTGGAACGCCCGAACCCGTACCTCAATCAACTAATTTAGGCATAGATTTGATATATTAATCAAAATTCATTAGAATCGATAAACACGATTGCGAGCAGTGTATTAAACGGCCATTAACGTGATTTTGTCAGCATTTGCAAGCAAAAGTATAAACCCAAATTCTCCATTAACAGTAATGGGTTGTGGCGCAAACAAATTACGCCACGGATCTGGCAATATATAATCAGGAAGTAAAAAACCAGGCTTCAAAGAATACCTTCAGGTAATTAATTAATTAATTAATATGATTTACGTAAGTTTTGTTGGTTTATATAAACGCATGACCAAATCCAGTCTAAAACATATTTTGAAATAGATAATTCATAGAAATGGGACTGTCGCTCCATCTACTTGCGAAAGCCCAAAGTAATTGTTTCATATTTCAAAATAATGCAGGTAATTTTCAAATATATTTGAGTCACACGTAAAAATGTATATACCTAATAAATATTAAAGATCTATTTTATTTCCAATTGTAAGAGAAACACAAAATAGTACAAATAAGTTTTCATACATATGCACTCAAAAGACTGCGGCGCAATGTGTGTTGCATAACCTACAACGTCGAAGAAAATCAATAATTGAATCTATGTATTTTAAATTGTGTAACACAGTTGTGGAAATAGTAAGTTTAATTAAAATACCTATATTTACTTAATAGGCAAAGACAGAACAGAATAAGAATCACACATTACGTTCTATAATGATTGCGTATTAGACATATTAAACTCATTAGAACAGAATCCTTGATTCGGCACAGCAACAGTTATAAAATGCATATTTTAAAAATAGGTGTTTACACTTTTACAAGATATTGGGTCAATATCATTGTTACGACAATCGGGTAGTTCATATTTCGTTTGTTATTAAATACTTACACAAACGAATCAACTTTGCAATCAATATAAACTAATGCAAAAAATTAAAGGGTCAAAGAAATTTCCGAAATTTTTCCGTGATTTTTGACAAGACTGTATTTAGGTGAAAAAGGTCGTATCGGGAATTAAAAAAAAGCATTTTGAAGCTCTAAGAGTAATTTTTAGATCTTTCGGTTGAAATTTTTTAGGAGCGACGGTTTCATGCAATTCTAAATGGCGCGACGAAAAAAATTTTGCAAATTTTTTAGTTTCTTTTTCCAGAGACTTGGAAACATTTTTTTCAGCTTTTTTTTTAATTTCCGATACGACCATTTTTCACCTAAATACAGTCTGTCAAAAATCACGGAAAAATTTTGAAAATTCATTTGACCCCTTACTTTACCTTAATCAATACGAATAAAATCATATATACAGCGTGATCACTGGCTAGAGTCAATATGCTGTATATTGTTATAGCTTAGTAAATAAATATATATTTGTTTTTAACGTACTTTGTATGTATGTATAATATTATTACAATATTAATATTGAGACTTCAAATGTACTTTTTTGTATATAAAGTGGTCAATAAAAAGTAAGTAAGTAATCGCAATGTTTCCTAATAAAATGTGTAAATTTATGTTTTTACAGATAAACACTAAAAAGTGTTGACCTAGAACGCTCTGACCAATGTTTATATTACGTCCTCCTAGAAATAATTCGAAAAATATAACAGGACGCTCCCGGTTTCCCCACAATTAAACGCGTCTTTTCTGTTGCGAAAAGGTATTTTGAAAAATCCCAAAAAACTAGTTGATTTGAATAATTCTCCTCTTATCTGGTTATGCAAGGATAGTTAGTCATCCATTTTTTCTATCATATATTTACTATATTCACCCGACCTTCCAACTGACCGTGGGACTTTGGGGGGGCTACTAGCGTCATATTAACAATCACTGTCAGTACATTAGCCATTGCAGAGAATAATATCTCAGTATCGCATCTTCCCTGGCCTCAGTTTTTTGTCACCGTTCTGTGTTGCCGCAACATGATCGGTAAAGTGTTGACTTTGAATGTTTTTCTGTGTTTCCTCCTCGCTGGCGGCGTCTTGGGACAAGGTGGGTCATTAGCAAATACTTTTAATTTTAGATAATAACACAAAAGATAGGTAACTGTTATAATTTGCTTTAATAAATACATTTTTTTGCTTTCTTCCGACTTTTTTCATTAAATAGGGTTTTGCTTGTTTTTTTATAGTACTCATATTACTAAATTGTGAATTAGTCTAAGTTTGGAGTAATAAAAATCAAATTAAAATACTTAAATATGAATTAATTTATTCAAAGAACCAGAAGATTTAAAAATATAAATAATCCATATTTGTTTTCCTTATTTACATGTATCAGTCCAGTTCCTGATAAAAGATTTATTTATACATAAAAACTACAGTCTTTGATAAGATTTGTGAACTACGTTCTGGAAGTCTATACCGTTTTATTTTTCGCGTATCTTTCGAAGAAACAAAAAAAAATTATATCAAATCCTGGTCTCATGATTAACGCATGAAACTTTGCTATTAGAAAAACAAATGAGCATCGGCATCACAAATCTGGAATATAAATGCGTCTATTATTCCGCAATTCGAAACGTAGTTACATTTTTCATTTAAAACATTCGTAATATTAAATTCTTTTTGTCCTACTTCGTCCAAGATTTTTTTTCTTAAAAAATTACTGCATACTTAAAAATGGTCACATCTAATTAGTTCAGTCACAGGCAATTTCACCCGAAGATTTTTTTGAAAATTGCGGAACTACCCAATCTATCTCTGCAACTATAATAGTTTTCCGGATAACGCTAAATTGGTTATTAATAAACAGGCCGGAAATAAATTAGACAACATGTAAATGATATAAATATAGTTTACAAACCTATTTAATTGAATAACTCGCTAATAATTACGGTATTTTAGTGATATTTTCCCTTGTTTGTGTGCAGCTTAACAGAAATAAAGTCGGTTCGATTTAAAGTTGAAAATAAATCAAGTATTACGATCAAGTTGCAAGCAAATCAGGTCAAGATTAATCGATTCATATACATATTAAAATTATCGTTAAAGAGACCAATTCGCTCCAGATAAATTTATTAAAAATAAACCCACACATATGTGGAAGTCTAAAACCCTCTTACACACGATGGTGTTCCTTTAGCGGCGGAAAAACCACGCCGACGACCCATGTTTTTTAATTTAGAAAATTCGCCCAACTTCCGAATTTGTTACAGTGAACGATGGGACCCCTTGCTACACCCCAAAGGACGAGTACGGCCTCTGCATAAGCATAAAGCAGTGCAAAGTTCTAATCGACTTACTAATTTCTCAAGGCTCGAACCCAGCCGTTGGAAACTACCTAAGAAGTTCCACTTGTGGCTATATCGGTAGCACTCCTATGGTTTGTTGCCCACAAATCACTCCAAAAAGCAACCCGACGAGTATAGACGCTGAACCTGACGGAGATAAAAGCAAACCCGATGACTCCTCCGAGAACGAGGAGAGTAAAAACGAGAGCAGATTACTCAGCCCACCTGATTGCGGATTTACCAATAAGACCAACACAAAAATTGTTGGCGGAGTGCCTGTCACCCTCGGTAAGATTATTGCAAATTAGTGATAACAACTTTGAAAAATGAATAAATTATATATATATATATACATCCATTATTTAATAAGTTATGCAACAACTGTGCATCTGCTCATAACGTGCAATTATTACTATTCACTGCGGGTTTGTTAAATGTCAAGTCGTTTTCATCTTAAAATTTATGAACTTGTTTTTATGTCGGTTACGGTAGAAACTATTAATGTTTGTCATCAAAATTAGAGGAAAAATATTGTCTAAAGTTATGTATTGTTTGCATCCGTGTAGTTAGTTTTTTCTATGCTTATGTGAATATTTTCCCAGCTATAGCAAAACTATCAAATAAACCCTTGCCAAAAAAAAAACAGTCAGGGAAGATAGAGAAAAAAGTTATTCTAAATTGTACTATTGCTCAGCCAATATTAGAAAGCGAGTTAAAAAATATAATAAAAAATGCGTGTTTAATTTTAGGATATAAAAGCAGTTGATGAATGGGAATAAACAGTGACAAAAAAGCGCTGGTTGAATATAAATATTAATAACGCGCGACAATATATCATCCATTTTATTCCTAATATGAATTATTTATGACTAAACAAATTCTTAAAAATCAAGCAGGCATCAACAATGATATCACTTCTTTCTTCCCGTCGCCTGTTTCTTTATACGAAAGCATATTTCATAAGGATATTACGTTACTTGTCACCTTGTCCGTCTGATAAAATTGGGGCCAAGTCTAAACCAAACGGATATAGATACAACAGGTACCACAATATCTACTCGCGGGAACTTCCAGTGCAGTGCCACCTGCAGCATTTACAGCTGTTTTAATATGACAGAAAAGTAAGAAAGGTTTATGATTCAGAAGCGGTTTACTTAATAAGTAAATAACACCAAGGCCATTCGCGTGAAAGAAGAGAACGAAAGTCATTTTTTACGTTGGGGGAATCCTACAAATTGTTTGCATAATTTTTTAATCAGATAATCACATACAATTTTGTGGCGATACAATTATGTGTCTGATAATTGCTTTCGCGTGAATTAACGGGAATGTGTGGAAAATACAACTATGCCTAAACTAATAGTAATTTTTTGACATTTTCTGTTCCAGGCGAATTTCCTTGGATGGTCGCTCTGGGGTACAGGAATTCGAAGAACCCTAACGCCCCTAAATGGTTGTGTGGCGGTACACTCATTACAGACAGGCATATTCTAACTGCTGCCCACTGTGTTCACAACAGAAATGATCTGTAAGTATTTTTCATCCAAAATCGAAACAATAAATTGGGTATTCAGCCAATATATATTATTATACTATTGCTATCGGTTATTGTCACCTAAAAGTTAGTCTTATGCTGAACAACACGGAGAAATATACAGGGCGTTTCTTTAATATTGCGAAAAACTTTAAAAATCGTTTTCTATTAGAGCTTATTTCCAAGAACATTTTTTTTTTCGCGCTGCCCGGAACATGCACATAAAGAATGATGGTTGACTTGGTACGACATTGTTATATATAATTATACATTCGCTTACATTTTCCAGTTACTTGGCACGCGTGGGAGAGCACGACCTTTACGACGACAAAGACGGCGCGTCACCAGAAGACATACCTTTGATCAAAACCAAAATCCACGAGGATTACAGTTCTGTGCAGTTCACCAACGACATCGCCATCCTCACCATGGAAAGAAAACCCAGTAACGGTAAATGTCAGACAAGGACTCAACGAACCATCTTAACTCTATTTAATTTCAGATTCCGTTTGGCCCGTGTGTTTACCACATGAAGAACCTTATCGCTCAAACAATTTTGTGAAGTACAGGCCTCTTGTGACAGGATGGGGATCCATATATTTCAGTAAGTAGTTTTGGCAACACCAGCCATGTGGGCTAGCCGCCTAACGAGTGTTCTTTTGCAGATGGTCCTTCCAGTTCGGTGCTGCAAGTCACCTCGGTCCCCGTGGTGGACAACAACAACTGTAAGAGAGTCTTCGCCAACAAATCCGTCATCGACGACAGAATTATATGCGCGGGTTGGACCACCGGCGGAAAGGACGCTTGTCGGGGCGATTCCGGAGGGCCGCTTTTGTACGGTAAAACCGAAGCGAGATACATAAGATACTACCAGATAGGCGTTGTGTCCTACGGTTTCCGATGTGCTGAAGCAGGGTACCCTGGGGTATACACAAGGGTCACGAATTTCATTGACTGGATTAAGAGGAACTTGGATTAATGTCTAACGCGCTGTCCCCCCGAATTGGTCTTCTCGCTTATGCCTTTGTTTTGAGCCAGTAACAAACAAGTTGGAAAATCGTCGAATTGTGCACATGACAACTGACGTTATGACTTATTTGAGTTATAATTTCAGGTATTTTTTATTCTAGTCCCAGTAATTGTGTAGATTCCCAAAAAACTACTTACTCTTCCCAACAAGCAAAAAAAATGTGACATTGTACCGTTATAATGTATTATGTTAAGTTTTTTATGTATTTATGTTACAACATTTTATTATAAAACAGATATTTGAATCGTCTTTCTTTTTCACCAACCTTTCCAAATGATTAAAACGTGGTGAGTCACTAGAAATATTACAACTTTTACCACAAACAAGAGTCCGTTAAAGGGAACATCAAATGCCAATAAAAAGTAATATACAGGGTCATTTGTAGACTTAGAGCTAAAATGGTCATTTGATATTCCCCTCAATGAAATTCCTCGTGAGTCATCCTGTATATAGTTAGGAGATTATGGAAACGTGATTTCTTTAAATAATATTTATTAACAATAGCTACAATAAGTTGTACTTTACGAATTTATGAAAATATATTTCAAAGTTCCTATTTATGTTACATCATAAAAACAGAAGTAGAGTCGATTATGCGACAATAGGTGGACTACGGAGTACTTAGGTATGTAAAAAAAAGTGATAAGTACAAACATATTTTGATTATGAAGTAAAAAAAGGGTCGATTAAAACAAGTAAAATTGCTGCTTAATATAACTTACAAAGTATCAGTCAACTATAACAATTTCGGATAAATTACGTTATAAATCACAGTATTACAGTGTGTTACAGAAGGATAAATATATGTTGTAAAGAAAACAAGCCGGTCAATCTTTGTCGGAGCGGTTTTCCCGGGCTTCTATGAGGGGGTTCAGGGGGGGCAAGATGGCCGGTGACATTGCCAGCGCCGGGTTAGCCACTGCTATGATGTTGTCTCCGCTGGCCGCTATGATTTGTACCTTTGGGGAATATTTACTGGCATCATCGTCGTTGTCGCCTTCCTCCAGTTTTCTCTGAAAACAGATTTAAAAATATCCACCGATACCTAAGCGAGATCCCTATCAGCGATAATTCGTTACGTAAACATAGATACATGATGAATTCATCATCTAAAACTGTTTAGACGTGATCTGACTACAAATATTAACATTACACAAACACATGTAGTCTTTTATTAGCGAGTAATGATTTGATTGTCGAAAATTTTACCTGCGGGCTACTGGAATTGCTGTATGTAAATTGGGAATCTGACTCTTCCAATTCCACTCCCAAAGAGGATCTTCTCGACAAGTTTCCCCTGTGCAGAAAAACAAGTCATTAGAACGTAAACAGAAATAATTAAAAAAAAACTTATGACCCGTGACTGACATACATATTCAGTAATGTAAAAGTTAAAATGGACGAACACAAAGAACAACAAGAAAAATGTTTTAATTTAGTCAAAATTGGACTGATAAATAATAAGGAAATCTCTGTTGAGTCACGACTGACATTGAGGGCGATCAGATATCCTACCTTGCGGTCGAGTGGTGGTTTTTTGAGTTTTGCTGAAACAGGGAATGTAAAGATGTTCTCATAACGACTGCATCATCGTAATCCTAGAACGAAATATCCATACAAATGACTAATTTATTGAATAAAAACATATTTAAAGGAACCAGCATGCAAATATCGGCCGAGTGCCTTACTAGCCTTACCTCATAAAAGCAGACTTGCATGCTAAAAACAAAATCAGCGATTATCTCAGTTGCATCACTAAAGCGGCGTTAAGCAGAGCACATGAATCACCCAAAACAAGTCAACGAATTTACGTTGATAAATAGTATATGACTAGCATATACGGAAATTTCATCAAGATGTTTTAGATCATTCATGTTTTAAGCAACAATACCATAAAATTAAATTTGTTTGATTAGAAGGCATTCTTAGAACTTACTGCACCGTCCTGTCCCGGCTTTGGCAAAATCTCCCACTTGCAAAATTTTCTGAAGCTGTAAGTGCAATTACCTACCACCAAAAACCAAAAGCAGCCGGTAGTGTATTAAACTTCAACTGAAACGAATAACATAAAATAAAATAAATATCAGCGCTAAATTGAAGCTGAGAAAAATCTTGAAAATTACCAATTCATTGTTTATCATCTTTCTCTTGGAAGTTCCACAAGACGAAACGTTGTTCACATTGTGTTCTTCCTTACCTTCATATACTGTTCACTTCAGTTCCCAGTCCTCCAAGTTACATCCTGGTTTTGATCCTATGTATACAGGCTGTCTACTATAAGAGGGCCACTCCTATGGATCTCGCTTAATATACGACGCACGTCAAAAATGTATTTTGTTAAATTTTTTGGGGCCTCTATGCTCGTAAAAACAAATTTGAGATCCATGGCCAACTTTGTGAGTAATAATAAAAAACAATGTAAACAGATTTTCAAAATATCGTATACAATTTGCTGCGCCCTCTACGCGGGCTGAAAAAATCGAAGCAGGCTGTGGCTACAAAAAATTGCTTGTTATTTCCTCTTTCATGCGATATACTACATGTTGCCTGTACCTTTTATATTTATTGCATTTTTTACAAATTTGGTATAAAAAACATTTTCGTGTTAACATAGAAATTGTTGTAGACACGTGTCTACTACAAAAAATTTAATAAATATAATGTACTTCTTTAAAGCAAACCGCAGATTTTCTTTTCACATTATTATAATATTGGTTTTTTACTTTAGAGTAAACTGAGCCTTCAACATTGTTCTTGCACAAAGTAGCTTACGCTAAATATGTTATAGTTTATACATAATTGTTACAGTTAACGGTGATTTGAAAGAGTATAATTTTGATTAATAATGATATTTTCACATACTGAGAAGTATGTAATATGTTTGTATTGTACTATCAATGCAATTTTAATTCTATTCAAGCACTTGCGGAATGTAGAAAACCTTCGCTAATAAAATCAGGTGTTGTTAATAAAATACGTACTTAATGTTAACAGAATTTTAAATTACGTATGTAAATATGAAAAATGAGTAGAACAGTGAGAGATTGAAGTGAACTACAATTTAGAGAAGGATAGTGCAAGAAGGAAATAAAGTTTCAAATGTTATAAGGCGAAAAAAGTTCATCTCTTGAGCTTGAGAGAGGAAGGAGTAGGAGATTGGGGTTTTGTAGGTAGTGAAAAGAAAGAAAGAGGGAAGATCCTTTTATATGCAGAAGAACTCTCTGGTCAGATGTGTCTAATTTTTGTAACAATGGATTTTTTAATGGAAACATTTACTTCAAATGGACTAATGGTCATTTATATTGACATGGAGAAACTGCATTTAAACAGAGGTTTTCTGTAAACGTTTGGGTTAGAATTCTTGATACCAAAATCATAGGACTTTACTCCTATGATGGTAAACTGATATTGCAGATTCTTAGCTTAAAAGAAGTACATTATATTCATTAAATTTTTTGTAATTGGCCTGTTTAAAGCAATTTCTACAGTAATCTACATTTTTGATACCAAAATTATAAAAAATGTAATACAAATATATAACAGAAAGGCGACATGTAGTACATCGCATGAAAGAAGAAAGAACAAGCAATATTTTGTATCCACAGCCTGCTTCGATGACATTTTTTTTGTCCGTGTAGAGGGCGCATCAAATTCAATACGTAGATTCAAAAATTTGATTACACCAGGTGAAAGATATCAATTTTGCTATGCAATTTTATTAAAATAAGTTTTCTCTATCTCTTAAAATAAAAAAGTTAGACGGCCCTAAGCATTCGGTAGTTTTCCGGTTTTTTTATTACTCGTAAAGTTGGCCATGGGTCTTAAATTTGTTTTTACAAGCAACAAGGCCTCAAAAAATGCAACAAAAAACATTTTTGACGTGCATCGTGTATTAAGCGAGGTACATAGGAGAGGCCCTATTATAGTAAACAGGCTGTATAAATTATGTTACAGAGATAGAACCATTATCTTAATTTCCGTTTTTGGCGAATGTCTTTCCTAGAATATTCAGCATAATCCACGTGTAAACATATTTCACAAGCAATTTATGTCCGGTATAAAATTCAGTAAATATTCCAAGAAAATATAAGATGTTATTTTAAATATTTATAAAACCATTTTCAATTACGTAAATTCAAAACGATTTATGACAATTACTGTAAAGGACTTATTCATAGACTAAATTCTCGGAAATACTCACCGCTAATGAAAATATAATACACATCTTTACACGTCCTCAACAAACAAAAACAAATTAAGAATATTTTAACATTACTTACTCAAAATTTACGATACGTGAATTCTGAAAAAGTATATAAATTATCTCCCAACACTTGTAATTTTAAAAGATATTGATGCATCAAAACAGATACTCTTTCTCCCGCCCTCTAGCTGTAAGTGGCAGAACTAGCAACTGGCTGCAGACGTTACAAACCTTGGCGTTAAGTGTAGGTTTATGTAATGCATCCGTACTACAGCGCCATCTCGATACTGATAGAGGTATCTGAGAACACATTTTAAGACAACTGTAAATAAGTTTCACGATATTTTCGGCGTAAACAAAGGCTAATACGTAAAAATCCATAAATAATTGTATAAAGTATAATTTCGAATACAGTTTTTCCTTAATCACGTACAAAAAAGCGAGTTAATAATCGACTTAATTTTAAAATACCTTTGTTATAAACACTTTTGTTAAATATTAAGCGAAGTAAGTATATATTAAATAGTGCCAACAAAACTGGTTTACCTCTAAATAATATTTATTTTGACTAGAATTAATTAATGACCAAGATAATTGTTGTTGACTGTATGCAGTTATGCTACCATGATCAAAAATACGTCCTCCAAAAATAATCAAATTTCGTAAACTTACATTTATCACAGTGCGTAAAAAAAATTGTAAATATATTTTGCGTACGCTAAAAATTATACAAACAAACTTACACCTACAGACTAGCGTTGTTATCAAGAAAAAATAGACATACTTTAAAAATAAAAAAATATAAAATAATGTATGACTAAGTAAACTATATAAGGCATTTCACGATTCATTGTACCATGACAGTTTAAAAATCCAACTTATTCCAAAAAACTTAATTTTATTTGGAATTTCCTTACGTCCTATTTATCCGAGGACTTGAATTAATTGCACAAAATAAAAAATCACAAACCAAATTGTTGGATGTAAACCGGAATCAGCGTTATACAATTTAGTAAAAAGCAGACCAAATTTTTTAGGTCAGTATTGCTTGTGGACATCAAGCCCTTACATATACTATATATGTCACATTAATAAAAAATAAAATTTGTAATATACAGAGAGCAAAACATATTTCTAAATACCGCAACTACTTCATTAATAGGTACCGACAAATTTTGCACGAAAGGACGTATTTTTTCACATAACCACCGTAAATAAATAAGCAATTAAAGCTCCTGAAGCACCGCGAAGCATCTTAACCCTACGTACACAGCATGCACCTTACAGTAATGGATTTCTCGTAAATCTAGGCCCCCAACGCGAGAGCAAGCTAAAAAAAAGCAAAGCATTAAGCGGGAAAATTAATCCTCTAAGTTAATAACGACATGTGAGTGTTGCTTTTGTCTCGTTAGTTGGCTGACCTGCTGCAGGTCATCCCCGTCCGAGTTCGACTCGAGCTTGGGCCTCTTCATCATGGGTCCGTCGTTATCCGGGACCATGATCCTTGGGCTGCTCCTCGCGGAGATATTGTTCTCCCCTTCCCTGTCGTGGCCCATGTGCATGTGTTTGTTCATATACACGGTCGACAACCTGAAACAGCCGATGGTAGACATGCAAGTGTTAAAGAAGAACACTTACTGTGTCTTGGAATAGTAACATCCCGAATCCTTGACAACTTGCCTTGCCAGGGGGAACAGTTCGTCTCGTCTTGTAAGCAAAGCTGGGATAAACCTGCAGATCTGTGCGGCAGCTTCGTTCACGGATACTTCGTGTAAAGTCAACGGCTTCTCTGGCTTTCTTTTGCAGTCGAAACGTCCGTATATGGCTGCGTACCTCCGAATTTCGTCCATGCGACGTGGATCGTTCTCTGGCATGGAAATCACAAGCTCCAGTTCCTTACAAACCTTCTTCTTGGTGTTGTGAGGCTTTGGCTCGAACTGTGGGAGCTTCTTGCTTAACCTTTCGGCGGCTGCTGCTAGCTTGACTATCTGACTATCTGTAAGACTTGGGGACAGTTGTACGGACATATTACCCCCAGGACTTGAACTAGAAGATGGGGGACAAGCTGGGTCCAACGGGGAATAAGGCCTGAAACCAAAAAACATTCAAACTTCTATTCGAAGTATTTTCAAGTACTGACCTTTTGTTGCTTAGAGATAAACCAGGGCTAGAAACGGGAGGTAAGGCACAAAGGTCGCCCGGCGAAGGGGAGTACATCGTCCTGCTGTTGTCGCCACTGTCTGTGTAGAAGACGTGGTTGCTGGTCACTCTAGGACTCGACAGCTCCAGCTCGAAATCTTCGCCTGGCACTAAAGGGATTTTGAACTTGGTGGGGTTCGTTACCCATTCCTGTAGGGATTTCTGCAGCCTTCTGACGTGCAGAGGTTTCGAAGCCATCCCTACCAAGGACATTATTTCTAGGAATTCTTCCTCTCCGGCGTCGCAGAGCTGTTGGACATCGTCACCTCCCATTTCCAGGAGTGTGTCGTAGTAGAGCAGTAGCGAGGCGTTTTGCATTACTCGGAATAGCTGCAGCTCGGCTTGGTTTGTGGGGTAGGACGTAGGAAATACTGCAAAATGTGTTAATACTCAATGAATGTATATACAGAAAAAATTTATATATTTAAAATTTACATCATTTTAGCTTTTTTATTACTGTTTACCATGACATAAAACACGACTAACTACAATTTGTGTTATACATTACCCACAAATTGTATTTTTTTAAAAAAGTTTACATTAATTAAAGTTGTAAAACCAACACACATAAGTATATAGGAAGAAAATAGTGAAATAAAACAAACAGTATTCAAGTGAAGTCGACAAACGAATTTGGAAAACAGGTTTAAAATATTCGTATAAAAAAATTAACAAAAACGCAACATTTTGATAAAATATATTTTAGGAGATATTTTCACTGTACCTATATACTTAATTTTACTGCATTTAAGAGCAATATCTTTGTGTGTATTCATATGAAAATACTTTTTATAACATAATCACAATCGTAACATTTTTTTGCACAAAATGGAAGACCACAGTAGTATAGTAGTTTTAAAAGACATTTCTTTGGTAAATTAAGAATTTTGTTATTCAAACAAACAAATTAATATGGAAGTTATAGTAGCAGAAATAAAGTTAAAGCAGTATTTATAATTTAATATAAGATATCATAGAGGTTAGTGTGCTATTTTTTAATTAAATTTTTTCCTAAATTTGAGGCTTACAGTACACACGGTTGTCATTGCGCCATATTAATATCATTTCATCATACTTACACAAAATTGTAGTTGTGCTTATTATTGACTCGTATAAAATATCCGTATTATAGTAAGAAATCCTTTGTAGGCTGGTAGAAGTTATTAGGTGGGTTGCAGATTGAGAACGTGCTCCGCCACTGCATTGTCAGTACATCTATGTTCTTTTGGTCACTCCTGACCTGCACTTTTATCGATTTCTCAATTGTCGTTGCACTCGGTGTCTGCATTTCTGTTTGGGTAACTTTTTTATTGGCCGGCTTGCGCAGTAGAAAAGAAATTTCTCTATTCCTTTTTTCAGATCATGGGAAATTGCATGAAATTTTTCTTATAAGCCGATACGTGATCATATTCAACAGATGTCGCACGGCATAAAAACGGCTATGCAGTTTATATGTGTAGTTTTCAATCAAGTTTTTCTCCGGAGAGAAATTTACGGTAAAAAGTGGTTTTATTAAATTTTACTGGTACAATAATTGCTTTCCGTTACCACATGGAAATTTTATTCTTGATTTATTTAATATCTGTCCTCTTAAGAATTGCCGTACCTTTCAAAATATAATTGCCACACTATTAATCTCGTATTAATTCAAACTACGCTTCTTTTGTTACCCAAAAATGTACATACTGCCGCCACAAAAGAACATTTCGTCAATTAATATCCGTTTAACTTTTTACAATTATGATTTACCTAACACAAATATTGTTGATAATCACAACGCATTATATTTATAGAAAATAATCTACATTGTTCCCAAGATATGACTATCCCGACACAACAAAACCAATTTACAAAATAAATAACAATTACATTAACGAGTGACGAAATTTGCGAAAAACCTTCCGAAAATCAAAATAAGGAGCGAATTAATAAATCGATTTAAATAATAACAACAGCTGCTTTTTAGATTTTTTGCTAAAATTATTTTGCACAGTCCTAATAATTTATGTCGCTCCGAAATTTTGACACAGAAGTAGAATTTCTTTTGTAGGTATTACTCGAAAATTTAACACAACGTTCAAGTGGACCAATCCGAAAAGTCACAATTGAAATAATACGAAAGGAATTAAAGAATAATTCAAATTTCGGGGCAAAACGTATACCTGTGTGAGACAACTAATTGCAGTCACCCCTGAAGGCGCATTTGGTGCACAGGCAAACGTACTTCGTGCCCTTACCCCGCGCAATGCCTACCTGTGCACTTTTTGTGACCTCTTGCATACATTAAATATCCTTTCGCATAATTAAAATTGGTGATTTTTTTCTCGGACGGCATAAAAAGCGGACATGAACATCTCGCCACTGTGAGAAAAGGGTAAAGTCTTTACGGAAGGTCCGAAAAAAAAACAAAAGCATCTTCGGCTGATGTACCTGGTGGTTTTTTCCGTGGGTGCTTTGTGTTAGATTATTTAAATACGCGTGTTGACATACCGTGCTCACGCATATTAAACAGCCCGACATGGGTGATTTTTTCTTATGTTCACACGCGAATGAGGTGGATGTCCCTTCGCTAAAAGAAAGATTATCGGTTTTTTAATCGACGGCTGGATTTTTACGGGAAAAAAACATGAGAATCTTTGACTACAGCCAACTACAGAACTCTCTAAATATTTTTTTTACTTCTGAAGTCGTTAGAGGTGAACCTACCGACGAAAAAAATAATCACCACCGCCCAGTTGTTACTTTTACACGCATGAGTGCATTGGGTCTGCCCACAAAGCGAGAAATAAATTATATGTAGATACACAAAGCAAAAAAATATAAATATATCGTTTCCTGCATAAAAAAATTATCGTTAAGGGTTCAATTTTATCGGAACATGTTAAGGATACTTATCAATGGCCTCGTTAGCATGGCAGAGTAACGAACTGACTAGTCGAATTGTTCACATTTGGCAGGTGTGAATTATAAACAGTATTCTTTAAAAAAGTTAAATTTTTTCTATACAATTAAAATTACAGGAAGAATTTCCACTCATATAAATGTTATAGTCATTTCATGCCTATTTGTTAGGTCCTAGGTTTTCTGTATCGCATAAATATTTCCAAACTAAAAAAATCATGCGTTTTAAAAATTGATGTGAACTCTATTTGTATACAGGGGTTTCGAAAAGGTGTTGCTAAACGAACACAGATGGTAGAGAAAGTAATTTTATTACAATATCTCGAAAATGCTTCGAAATAAATTGATAAAATTTTGTACAGAGATATCATTTATTGTGAGGAATTACTTTATCTAAACCAAGTTGACACATTGTTTTTAGGGGTGTCCCTACGGTGAGGAGGGCGGGGGGTCAAGCCAAGGTTCAAAAAACTATTTTTATTTGTCAAATTCGTAATTCTTTTTTCGATAATCGGAATCCTTGACCATTTCTACATAAAAAAGATATACTCGTTTCATTAAATCAACCGATGCAACGGTTTTCCAGAAAATGCCGATTTTAACTTCTTATGCTTCTACAGAAAATTAAAAATTAGAATTCTATTTTCCCTGAATGAAACAGGTATCATCTGTGTTTGTTTGGCAACGCCCTGTATATTGTTACTAGTATAATGAAACAAAAACTAAGCTTGTTTTTAATTAATGCTTTATTAAGTAACATTTAATTACCTGCATTTAGTTATAATTGTGCACGGGAATACATAAAAAAGCTTTTTTCTAAGCAGGCAATATTGTAGATATAAAAGTTGCATCGCTAACGTTCCCAATTCACAATTTTCGTTAAATAAAAAGTGTTATTTTTAAATTACTTATGTAAAGTTTTCCTGGCTCAATAATTTTTTTTGCTATGCTCGAAAATCTACGTAACATTTTGGTTTACACTGTATGATTAACGCGACAGGATAAATATAATTTAAGTATCGATTGGCAACATTTTAAGCAGTAACATTCTTCAGACAATACTCAATCATTTTTTGTAGGGAATAATATAAATGGAAAGATACAGTACCCACTACCAAAAAAATGACAAAAACCCAACGAATACACATAAAAACATAAAAGTAATATTATTCTCGGCTATGTATTAGAAAAAAGTTAATTACCTACTTTTTATTACTAAGAAAATCCACTTCACTGGAACGGTATTCGAGACTGACTTTTTTCTCAATTCATCAATGCTGCATACCGAGATAACTATTAAAAGTAACAAAAATACATTTAACACCATTTTTATGCATTCTGCCCAAAACTGATTTGACTAAAACAAAATTAAACTATTCGCTTGCAATTACGTTTATTATTATAAAAAAATATATAAGAAATTAGAGAAATAATTGTACAGGCGCTGTAAAATATAAGCCGATAAGACGATCCAATTTTGGCCTTACCAAAAAAATAGGATCAACATTTTTTTTAACAAGAACGTATTTGTATTTCAAGGGAAAAGAAAAAAATTTGACATTGAGACATCGGATATACAAGTTATTCCGATTGTTGACTGTTACATAATGCAAATACACTACATTTTTTGCTGTTTAGACAATATTCATAGAAAAAAACAAATCGCGGTACCATAAGAAGACAAGCCCGTGCAATACCAGTTTTAAAGATTCTATAAGAAATCTCATTTTCTAGTTAACCTTTAATTTTCAATAAAAATTTACATAGGAACGCAGACGAAACCGAAATTAACTATTTTTTTCGCGTTATAATACAGACAGTTTTTCACTAATGATTTACAGCTGGACTGGATATTTTATCTGATGATGCACGAAAAAAAATTAATAAGGTACCAAAAAAACCAGACTGAGACTGGTTGATGCAAAGTGAAGGGTACTTCGTTCTATGTCTGACATTTATAAAACTAAACATCCATAAAAATGTTTATAGCACAAAAACATCAATATCAACTGCAACATTATAAATGGTCTTGTTTATTCCTACAAAACTGTATAAAAAATACTGTATAGTTAAGTAAGTTTTTATGGGACATATGACGGCAGGACCTGTTGATATTATACTTTTGCAATAATTAACAGCATAATAACAGCAGACGTCGTGTGCCACCATTAGATTTTAGCAACTTTTGTTTTCTTTGTTCCAAAATTAGTTAAATATACCCACTGGCCCTGGCGAAAAAAACAGTTTTAACACAATTTTGAATACACAATTATTGTAACCTATGTACATATCGTATAAAATGCATTTGTTGTTCCAGAATACTGAAAAAATCTAACGATAGGAACGACGGTACGTATATTTGTCTAATTAAAAAACTGGAGACACGTTGAGGATAAAAAAATTAGTCTAATAACAAGAGATAGTTAAAAAATATTCTCACGTTCATTTACCCACATAAAAAAGTATCATC